CCGCCATTAAAGCGGCGCAGTTAGGTCTCAAAACGACTTGCATCGAAAAGCGTGGAACTCTCGGCGGCACCTGTCTCAACGTCGGATGCATCCCTTCCAAGGTTCACTCCTTCGCACTTTTATTTTTCCCTTTTTTAAAAAAAAAAATCGTTTTTTTTGTGAGATAGGGAATTTGTTCTCTGGTTGGTTTAAATTATGTCGTTTTTGGTGGCTGTCTTTTTTTGGAAAAGGATTAAAAAAGAAAGACAGTGGAATTTTAAATTTTCCAAGTGATATGCTTAATTTTCCTAAGGGATGTGTGTTTTTGATGTTTCCGATGTCTCTGAACTGTGATAAGAGGTTGTTTTGTTAAGATGAAGTCATTTCATATTCTGCTTCAGATTGTACTTCTATCTTGTCTGTAAATTTACTGTATTAATCACCGATATGATCTCCTTCGTTGTGTATTTTTTATTCAATGGCGTCATTTGATCCACCTATTTATTTAGTGGGAAAAGGCTATATTTTTGTTGTTGTTGATGTTGTTGTTGTTGTGTTTCCATGTAAATAGTTTGAAAGGAATAATGGATAGTGATCCATGTACTCATTTTATGGTACTCCATATTTTTGGTTCAGGCGCTTTTGCATTCTTCCCACATGTACCATGAGGCTAAACATTCATTTGCCAACCATGGGGTCAAGCTTTCATCTGTTGAGGTTGATTTGCCGGCTATGATGGCCCAAAAAGATAAAGCTGTTTCTAATCTTACCAAGGGTATTGAAGGTCTATTCAAGAAAAACAAGGTAAACTATGTCAAAGGATACGGCAAATTTGCTTCGCCATCTGAAGTCTCTGTGGACACCATTGATGGTGGAAATACTGTTGTCAAAGGCAAGCATATTATAATTGCCACTGGTTCGGATGTGAAATCTCTACCTGGCGTCACCATTGATGAAAAGAAAATTGTATCATCAACAGGGGCTCTTGCTTTGACTGAAATCCCTAAGAGACTCATAGTCATCGGGGCAGGCTACATTGGGCTAGAAATGGGGTCAGTATGGGGCAGACTTGGCTCCGAGATAACAGTTGTTGAGTTTGCACCGGATATTGTTCCAACCATGGATTCGGAGGTCCGTAAGCAGTTTCAGCGTTCTCTTGAGAAGCAAGGCATGAAATTCAAGCTGAAGACGAAGGTGGTTGGAGTTGATACTTCCGGGGATGGTGTGAAGCTGACTGTTGAACCTTCAGCTGGTGGTGATCAGACTACATTAGAAGCAGATGTTGTCCTTGTATCTGCTGGTAGGACTCCTTTCACTGCTGGACTTGGGTTAGACAAGATAGGAGTTGAAACTGACAAGGTAGGACGGATTTTGGTGAATGAAAGATTTGCCACAAATGTCTCTGGTGTTTATGCGATTGGAGATGTAATTCCAGGCCCAATGTTGGCACACAAGGCAGAGGAAGATGGTGTCGCTTGCGTGGAGTACATAGCTGGTAAGGTTGGTCATGTGGACTATGACAAAGTCCCTGGTGTTGTCTATACAACCCCCGAGGTTGCATCTGTTGGAAAGACAGAGGAGCAGGTGAAGGCGCTCGGAGTTGAATACCGTGTTGGCAAGTTCCCGTTCCTGGCTAATAGCAGAGCCAAGGCAATTGATAATGCTGAAGGTCTGGTGAAGATTTTGGCTGAAAAGGAGACAGACAAGATATTGGGAGTGCATATTATGGCACCCAATGCAGGAGAGCTCATTCATGAAGCAGCAATAGCATTGCAGTATGATGCATCCAGTGAGGACATAGCACGTGTTTGCCATGCACATCCAACAATGAGTGAGGCCGTGAAAGAAGCCGCAATGGCCACTTATGACAAGCCCATTCACATATGAGGAGCCAGTTGCTTCTTTATTATTGTCTTCATTTTTGTCCAAGAATTTTACAATGACTTGGAGTTGATACCACCTCTGTTAAATTTAGATTCAGGTTTTTAAATGCAAATTAGCCGCTTGTTTACTTGTTTGCATAATAAGAGGAATGACTGTTGTTTTTATCCTTTGTTAAATAATATATATCTCCCCTTCTCTCTGGAACAACATTGTAATTCTGACGGGGTGAAGACAATGGGAGTGTGGTACGGTTCTAATCAACACATTGTTGTGTATTATAAATTATTTTTTATCTACCCATTTCTTCTCATTAGCTGTAATACTTGCACGAGCTGCTCACTTTAAGTAATTTGTACTGCACAAGGATTGCCAAGTCTCCAAGTTATACATGGAATGTGTCACTGGGTAAACTTCAGTGCAAAGGAGGAAGCCATCAACATTGGACAAGAGTGATAGAATTGCTTTAAGGAATCTGCAATAGCAAAATTGAGTTGTGCTAAGTTGAGGACTGGTATGTTATTACAATATCTTCTGGTTTGAAACTCCGTGGAGACACACTACAACCTACCTAACAGAGAATTCTCCCTAGAGGTAGCACGGGCACAAAAATTGGAGCGATTGAACAATGCACAAAAGTTAGTGATTTAAGGACAGGAGAGGCAGCGACCCAAACCCAGACGAACGGCTGCCATAAATTATGCTTCCTTATCCATTCCATTGTTCACGTGACGTGGATTCATAGGCTTCTCATCGGTGCTATTGTGCATGGTGTTGTTACAACTCAATGATATTTTAAGTTTAGTCGTGTCATTAGACCTAGTTAGGTAGACCATTGTAATTTGTTAAACAAAAATAGAGGAACACAAGTGGAATGTCACTGAAGAAATAAATTTCCCTTCATAAATTTCATATACGTTAATTATATTATGCCACAATTACGAGTTGTTTCAGAGTTTAGTGTTTAGTCGTGAACCTTTAGGCATGATCATTGTAAGTAATGATTAACGATGTTTTTCCTTTAAGTTCAGATCTCAAATAGACCCAAAATATAACATTTTTAAGCTTATTTCACAAAATACATAATGGTCTACAGATCGTCAAGGTAAGCTTTATTAATATATATATATATTCTATGTTCTTTTAATGAATTACATAACCAATTGAACAAGCCACATCACAATACAAAAAGATCAAAGTTTAAGCTATGCGGAAGATGATTTTTTAAGACAATAAAATAAACTATTTAGTGACGGAGAAAGAAATATCATAAAAAACTTGTAAATAACATCATACTTCTTTTAGGATTCGTATATGCACACGATCTCTTCTGTCTTGAAACTAAGAAGATTGAATTACTTTAGAGGAATTCAAACAACCAAATAATGATCAGGACACAAAATGAGTTCTTTGAAACTACCTTTCGCGATTAGTAAATGTCTTCTTTGAGGCTCTCAAGGAATGTAATGAACAATTGTCAGTCTAAAATTTACAACTGTCGCTCCCTAGCCCCCAATTTTCCCCTCCCACATGGAGTACTACATCATTGAGAAGCATTTCAAATCTCAAATCTCGATCCTCTAAATGCAACATACCCTAACCTCATTAATGTGATCAAAGGTCTTCTAAGTTTTACCTCTTGAGAGACCAAGACCTACACAGGAACTATAGCACCTGGACCATCAATTCACTACAAAACCATACATAATGCTCCAATAACGCCAGTTTTCAACTACCTTCAGTCATCCTCTTGCATATTATCTGGTCGCTTCCTGGCTTGCAAAGCCAATCGTGCATCTCTCTCCCGCTCAAACTCACGGTAATCTGCTCGCTGCAAGAAAGAAACCTTGTCCAAATACTGATTAGAACTCTTCTTGTAAGCATCAAGCTCTACTTCCAGTCCCTTGTTTTCTTCCTTAAATTCTCCCCAGTCCTTTTTCGTCTTATCAAGTACACTAAGCCTCTGTTTCTTCTTGATCTGCTCGAGGACAGCATCCACCGCAGAAGGTGCAGGAGCTTTGGATCTTTCCATTGCCTCCTTCGAGTCAGAATCTACAAGCTTTTTAACTTCAATGTCTTGACCAGCAAAATCCCGAACCTCAGTAATCTGAAAAAGAAAGCAAATGAACAAACATTGACACTCAAATGCCCCACATGGGTGCTGGGAATGATAGGTCATAAACCAAGTTGGAATCCAGAGCATTTCATATTTTCAACTGGAAAATTCTCTGTGTATGGTATTCTCAAATTGTGATGGGCTTAAAAATAGGCACCCCTAGTACATTAAATATTGACACAGCGAGACACAAGCTAAAGCCAGTCTTATGTCTAAGCTTTCTTTGATATAATTCAGCCATGTCTATATATTGAATTTGAAAATAAAATAAAATTCCAAAGCACAAATTCTCTACTCTTTTAAGCCTTTATATATATTTTCCTTTTCCATTTGGCTAATTGCATAAAACCTTCCCACTACAGCCAGATTAGCATATGACCAAAAATAGGTGCAATGGATAGCAATATGCTTACCACAAGTTTCCCCCTGCTTGAGGCAGCCATGGCAGCATCATCTTTCGCTGCTGCAAGAGCAGCAGCAGCAATCTTCTTGGCTTCATCACTGGTACTGCTTTGAAGCATGCCAGGTCCATTCTTGGAAGCACCTTGCCCAAGTGATTCTGTTGTCTTTGGTTCCAAGCCCAAATAAGACATCCAGTTCTATGTTCAAAGTTTTTGGGTTGAAGGAAATTAAACTCTAACTGTGGAAAGAG